CCTCTGATTCTGGTCTGATATGACGTAATCATGACATCATCACGCAGCTGCTGCAGCTTTGTCTTCCCATCCAGATGCTCGGTTTTTGCTTCAGAAGGTCTCTACGTGCCTAAATGCACTGAGCTGCCACGTGATTGGCTGATTAGATATCTGCAGGTGTGCCTAATAAAGTGGCCAGCGACTTTATTTTTGGCAAATAATTTATATATTTGTCTTTAGTCAGTTTATTTCACCTGTATACATATTTTCATTTGTTCTGCTTTGTTTATGAATTTACTGGCACTATGACGTCATATCAGGACCACCAATAAAAATGTTCATTAGAAAATATTCATCCGGGATAGTTTAAAAAATCCAGGATTAAACTTTCAGAAAATTCCACATTTTTTATGTAGAATAATCCACAAACGATTATGACGCCACAGACTGCAGTAAACACAGCGCTGTTTGAACAACACACAAGTGTTGTGTGTTGTACGACTTATGGTCTCTGCAGCTGAACTGGAAAAACTCACTCATGCATTTAGATTCCTGTAATTCCCTGTTCACCAGCTTGGATCAGTCATCTCTGTCTCGCCTCCAGGTGATACAAAACGCAGCAGCCAGCCCACGAACTCGTTCTAGCTCCCGTCTTATATTCTTTGGCTCCCAATAGATTCTAGAATTCGTTTTAAAATTCTTGTTTTAACATGCAGAGCACTAAACGGCCCCAGATTATTCATCCGAGCTTCTTACAAAATACGCCGCTGCTCGTCGTCCACGCGCACAGACGCGGAGTTTGTTGGTTGTTCCTCGAACACGAGTGAAGCGGGCAGAGCCTTTCAGTCTGTGCAGCACGGCTGTGGAACAGTTTACCATCACTCTACGTTTGGTTGACTCCGTGGATTCTTTGAAAAAGCAGTTAAAACTTTCCTGTTTAAACAAGCCTTTTGCTGATCTACGTGTTTTCTATTCTTCCCATTTTTAATTTACATTTAAACCTTTTACATTGTGCATAATGTCCATTGATTGTACTGTTTATTTTAATCTTTGTGACTATCTGTCTGTGAAAAGCGCTAAATGAATAAACTTTACTTACTTTCTTACTTATTCTTTTTTTTTAATATATTAATTTAACATGTTTTTCTTTATCTTATTTTCTGGGCTGATGTTTATCTGTGTCCTCTGTGTTTTACTCAGTTAACGATCACTTTGAATGTGCTGTGAGTCCTGCAGAGCTGCTGTCGTGGATTCTCTGCAGGAGAAGCTCAAGAAAAAAATTTACATTTTCAAGTCAAGAGAGTCTGAAGGCGCCTCATAGAAAACCCCACAAACCAGACTCTGTATTTTTCTGAGGATTAATCTCAAAGTTCCTCTAATTTCAGAGTGCCAGTCATGCTGCACCAACTCCACTGATACAAGTCGCAGTTTAAGGTTCGGTGGTTTTCCTTTAGACATGGCTCTGTGCTGAACACGTGAACTAAATGTGCAAAAGGTCCTGTCTGAGACAAGGACGGGGCGCAGGTCCCTGAGAGGGTCTGCTGTGGAAATGTGCCACAGCAGCTGGGAGAAGCTCTCTGTGTTTCTGTGGTGATGACTGTGACTGCGTTAGACATCACCTCAAACATCCAGAAACATGCAGAAGAGTCAAAAACGACCTTTTATTGGAGCTCGCTCAGAGCCTGAAGCAGGAAGTCTGGATTAACTTCTCTGAGTGGGGTTTAGGCTTTGTTGAGCTCAGCTTACACAAAGTCTGGATCTGGATTGTCAACACAAACCTCTGGTGTCTGACGTCTGTGTTCTCGTCTTTAAATAAGTGAAGATGTTCCTTCTATTAAAAATAAAATCTCACCTTCACCGGAAAGCAACTGGGAATGTTTAGAGAAGCCCCCCCCCCCAGGACACACAGACTTAATGTCCGCCCGTGTTGATGAATAAGTGAAATTGTTAAGATGAAGAAGAGAGGTCAGGTGATCTGCTGTTCGTCAGACTCGTGTTTGACCTGAATATTTAACTCCTTACTCTGTTCTTAGCGCTTCAAAGTTGCTCTTTGGGTCAGACAAGCGCGTTTTTATTGTAAATGCTGAAATGATTTCGTGTCCACCGCCTTTTCTGGGTCTTTTTCACCTGCGGGACGTGTGCAGGTGAAAAAGTGGCTCGCGCTGTGATTTCCGAGGATTTTTCTGCAGATTTGTGACGGAAGTGGCGGAGGGTCCTCTGCGCCTCGGAGCTGCGCAGTAGCGCACTGGGTGTAGTCTGGACTCTCGTCTTTTCCTGCTGGAGTTTGTTGCATGGCGGCGGCGGACACAAAGAGCTGAGGCCGAGCGCAGACCCGCACACCCCCACACAGTACACAGCACAGCCGGACACGAGCTGCGGAGGCGGCCGGGACGGAGACACCCGCCCTACGCTTCAGTCGCTGCCCGGAGACGGTTCATGTCGGTAACCGGGGAGTTTCTGCAAACTCTGAAAAGTTGAAGGAGAGTTCGCGAGGGAGCCGCGCGCAGTCTTCTGATCGTGAGGGAGGACGGAGGGGGCAGGAAAAATGCCGAGTGTGATCCGGGCTCTGGTGGCTCTGAGCTGGGCGGCGGCGCTGTGCGTGCGCGCTGCCATGGACGAGTGCTCGGACGAGCGGGACTGGCCGCAGCGCTGCATGCCCGAGTTCGTCAACGCTGCCTTCAACGTGACGGTGGTGGCCACCAATACCTGCGGCTCTCCGCCCGAGGAGTACTGCGTGCAGACCGGCGCCACCGGGGTCACCAAGTCGTGCCACATCTGCGACGCCCGGGACCCGCGGAACCACCACGGCGCCGCGTACCTGACCGACTACAACAACCAGCAGGACACTACCTGGTGGCAGAGCCAGACCATGCTGGCGGGGATTCAGTACCCGAACTCCATCAACCTCACCCTGCACCTCGGTAAGACCCCGAACACCTCTCGCGCTCACCTCCGCTCCGAACCTCCTTTAAGAAACTCCACATTTAAGCTTTTCTTTCCTCCCCGCTGAAAACAGCTGCACAAACCAACACAGACACAAATGTTTACGCATCTGGATGAGTCAGTCTTTCATTCGGCTTACAGTCAAAACACTCAAACCACACAGTCTTACACGGAATCCCACATTTAGTGTTGCGAGTTTCTGCGCTTTAGGTCCGAGGGCAGCTCAGTGAGCTCTGTGTGTGTTTGGAGAAGTATTTGTTTCACGAATTGAATGCACGTCCTCACATTCCAAAGCAGATGAAAATCTGCGGTGGAAGCAAACTGGATGGAAAAGTTAAAGTAGTGTAATTTTCTATGGAGTCTGGCTGGGAAATAAAGAAGTTGCGAAACTCTGGGGGAGATTGATTACCTGATATGGCTTCAAACAGTCAGAAACAAGAGAGGCATACGTGACCACCGTGTACTCAAACTTTCTACTCAGTCTGACCCCCTGCACGCTCCTCTCCGCTGAGCCGAACCCACCTAAAAATGTAAATTTCGTGTTTCTTTCTTTACTGTTAAAACTGCCACACGAAACGACACAAACACACATCTGCCGGTCCCTCTCTTTTATTCGGCCTCAGTCAGCACATCAAAGCACTCTCTGTTTAATAGAATTACACTATAAACCTGGCGCTTCTGCTCTAAGTGCAGCGCGCTGAACAGCTGTGAGGGGTGGAAATGCTCCGGGAACATTTAAATCTGTGGAATTTTCTACGGAGTCTGGTGAGACTTTCTTCAACAGGAGAGAAGTAGTATGACGTCAAACAGGGTCAGAGATGACATTCTACTTGTATTTACTTGAGTTCTATTTTTTAAGATGGCGCTGGAATCAGAGGTGTGTGTGTGTGTGTGTTTGTTTGGGGAGGTCGCAGCTATTTTCTGACCTGACTGAAAGCAGGTGGAGCTCGTGCTGGGTCTCCATCACGTCTGTGCCATTTGCTCGCTCATGGTTTGAGTTGGCAGCTCGGTGTCCCAGCCGCCTCTGAACGCACCACCAGCACTGGCTTCAGTTGTTGGTGTTTATGATTCTCAGACATGCTCAGGGTCTATTTTGACCTCTTTCAGCCGCATCTCCTGCTTCCCCCGGGAATATTCATCCTCCCTGTTTAAACAGGATGACGTAAATAAACTGCAGCTGAGCTCTTGCAGCTCATGAGCTCAGTCATTTCTGCATCGCTGCGTTTCTTCTGCATCAGCCCTCCTTCAGTCTGCGTGCGCTTCATGTTGGCATATTTTCAAGCTAGATGAAAAAGTTTAACCCTGAAGAGCATTTTTTTCTGATTTGACAGGAAGTATGCACCGACTGTGAGGTGCAGGAGAACGCTCCCAGCTGCCTCCTGTCGCTGCTGTGCGTCTGAATGTGAAGTGAAAGGTTTGGGTTGAGCTGTTGTAAGATCTGTCAGGATGATCTGTGTCTGCTGGAAGTCGTCTCAGTCTTCCTGACTCGGCCTTTTAAAAATACCTGTCTATTTCTGCCGCCTGAGGCCTCCTCTGTTTTTAACAGTGCTCCACATTCCTGAGGGCTTCGGTCATGCCGTTGCTTGGAGCTGAGCTGGGCTCTCTGTGGCCTCAGGTGCTGCTGCCTTAATTACACGCCGCCTTCTCTCGGCCCGCGGCGCTGCGTGATCGGAGCTCTGCCGCTTTCAGGTGTGTGAAGTCATTGTGGCACAGATCTGTGCAGTCCAGGGATCCATGCAAAGAAAGCAGGCAGTGAGCACCTGAGCGCCCCCAGCTCAGCCTCCAGGGTGTTACTGAGGAGTCTCGAAGAAGTTGTGAAGGTCGGCGTGCTGCTGGTTGACGGACGCATGAGTCCACGAGCGCACCGGCGTGCACGTCTGTTAACCAGGGGTGTCCAACTCCAGGCCTCGGGCGCCGGTGTCCTGCAGGTTTTAGATCTCACCCTGGGTCAACACACCTGAATCACATCCGGCCCTCGAGGCCTGGAGTTGGACACACATCTGCTTCCAGCACCTTCCACAGAGAGTCCCGTCTCCACCTACACCATCAGCAGCTGGTGGTGCTGGTCACTCCTCTGCTCGAGACGCCTGAACCTCAGGACGCGCTGACGGTTCTCAGGTTTTAATCTCTCAGGAAGTCATCGCGTGGCTGTTTGTTGATGGTTGAACAGCTCGTTGAGTTTCCTGAACGCAGAGTGAAGAGGTCATTTCCTGCTGATCCGATCTCCTAAATACAGTCGTTTCTCACAGGAAGCTCAGACGGAGCAGAGGACTGTCTGAGTCATCTCTGCTCAACGTTACGAGTCTTCACTTCAGCTTTGGCTGTAACACAGAATCAGGTCCTTCATGTTCATGCTGAGAGCAGGTTTGATGCTTCACTTTATGGAGCGTGACATTAAAGGTTCAGGAAGAGTCAGCTGAATGTCTGCAGTAACATCACTCCTAATCTTCTTACCGAAGCCTGTAAAGAGCGCATGAACGACGTCAGGTGCAGCTTCGTTGAGCTGTTTCACAGGTGGATCAAATTTAAGTGAATGAGCTTCAATTTGTGCAAAAGTGAAATCTGAGCAGAGGATTAGAAATCAGCTCGTGCTGTAACGCAGTCGGTGAAGACGCAGGCGAGTGCTCGCAGCGCGCTCGTGTTTCATCTCCAAACCTGCGAATGAGTTTAAAGTGTGCGGATGATAAAGCTGCAGCTTAATCTCAGGAAACCCGTGTGTGTGCGTGTGTGCGTGCGTGCGTGTGTGTGCGTGCGTGCGTACGTGCGCGTGTGTGCGTGTGTGTGTGTGTGTGGGGACTCTTTGATGTGCTGCAGTGCGTCTGCAGCGGGAAAGCGACATGTCCCGACTCGATGAGGGCGACATGAAAGACCCACAAAGAGGAACACCCCGTGCAGATGGATGCAGAGGGGCCCCTCATTTATCTGGATTCACCAGCACGAGGACTTCACAGGACAGGCTGACGGCAAATGTTTGATGTAGAATTAACCAAAAATTGAATGAAGTCTGGTCAAAGAAGAGCTTTGTGGGTTTCTGTAACAGACTGAGGGAGAAACGTTTCGGTTCTTCACGTTTTGATTAAACGAACTTTATCACATCTGTCTGAGTTTGTTCAGTACACGATGACCTAACGTACACGAAGGCTCCTCCTCCAAACCCTCCACATTCCTCTGCTGTGAAGAGCTGAATATTAATGTGACCCCCCCCCCGAGCCCGCCTCCACCGCCACATCGGAAACTTCCTTCTAGCTGAAACCAAACCGGCTTCCAGCTATTATTGAAACAACATTTACTGAATGTCTGAGGTTTCAAGTGTCGGTTGGCTTTTGGTGTCACTCGCTGTCGCTTCTTCTTCTGTGGTTATTGTGGTAGCAGAGATTGGTGGTTACCATGGCGAGATGAGCAGCGCTGTTTTAGAAAAGCTTTTCTGAGCCTGGAGTGAAAGTTTCAGTGTAGGTCTCATTTATCGCAGACCCTCTGAAACCGCGTGCCGTCACCTGTCGGGCGCTTCAGGAGAAAAATGGGCGACGCGGTCCACGATGGCTGTGATTGGCCTGTTCAGTACCGCTGTTTCCTCCTGGGGGCTCCCTGTGTGTACCCGGCATAAGCGTGGAAGGTGCGTCGCGGTGCCCAGAGCAGGTGAGGAGGCCAGGAAGTCAGACACAGGAAGGGTGTAAAGAATCCTGTCAAAATAAAAGCACGTGTGCGACTAAATTCTGTGGCTGTGATTTGGAGCCAGGTGATGGGTGCATCAGAGAATCTGAGACACCAGCTCTGGTGTCCCACCTCCACTTCTTCCCACCATTGATTACCCCCCCCCCCCCAAAAAAAAAAAACCAAAACAACCAACTGTTAGTTCAGTAAATGCAGTTTGTTAGATTCATAATGACTCATCTGTTCTGACGTTTTCGGGGTTGTGGGAGCAGCAGATATGCAGACCTCCCCGGCCACCTCCTCCAGCTGCTCTGAGGGGACGCTGAGGCGGTCCTAACCAGCCGAGAAATAAAATCTCTCCAGTGTCTCCTGGGTCCGATTCCTGGACGTGAGACGCCTCACCCAGGATGCCGAACCACCCCAGCTCTTTCACACTGCAGACCAAACATCCAGATGTTGGGAGTTGGCTGCGTTTTGGATCTGATGATCCTCGGCTGAACATGACGATGATGATGATCGCTCCACAGCAGCTGATGTGTGAGGCGTCTGTTCGCTGTGAGTCAGAGAGCAGTGCACTGTGGGAAAACCCTGTTTCCCAACCTGCCATCAAAAGACGTTTTTCTTCCTCTGCAGTGTCCAGCTGTTGCAAATCATACCAGGCTGGGGCTGAGTGAGGGGGAGGGGGGCATTGTTTGGCGTCTCAGGAATGAGCGCAGCGTGGGAAACTGGGATGTGGAGCAATTACGAGAGCTGCACAGCTGGACGATGGCTGCTGGCTCATTGCAGCTGATGAGAGAGACCTCCAGCCCAAAGCCACCCTTAACCCTCCACTACCTTTAAATTTCCCCTCTGGTCCCTCTGGTCTGACGGCCTCGTGGCAGACGTCGGCCTGAGGCGTTTAAACCCCCGTCAGGTGTTTCTTCAGAGTCACAGGTTAAGTTTAAATCTTCCTCCTGCTTCTGAAGATTCCCGAGTTTTTCATCTTTTGATGAATTCACTGATGTTCGGCGTCCATGTTCAGACTTCAAAGAGACGCTCGGGTACTGAAGCGAGTAACGGACCCCTCCCCAGACGGTCGGAGCGAGGCCAGCTGTTTGCATGTGACGCTCAGGCCGCTGGTCTTAAAGGAAGCTCGCTTTCTTTAACTTAATCCCAAAGAGTTTGGATCTTTGAAGCGAAGCTTGATCTGCTGCTGTGGACGACGTCAGCGGTGAAGCGCAGTTCAGCCGTCTGGTGTTTTTACCTCTTCCTGTTTAAATAACAGCCTTTACACACTGAAGCCTTCGCGTCGCTCTGCGTGGAAGCTGCAGGTGCCTCTATTGGGTTG